ATTTTGCCGATCTGAGTTTTCTCTGTCTTATTTCGTTAGAGTGCTTTTAATATTCGCCATGATTCTGAATTTCTCGTTCCTCCGATCTGTCGTTCTATCTTTGTGCATGCTTGTTCCCATCGTTCGTTCTTTTCATTTGTTACTCTTTTCTTTACCTCCCTGTTTTTCGCTCTATATAGGTCTAAGTCTTCCTGTTTTTTGGTGTTTAGGTATTTTATGTGTAGTTTTTTCTTTTCTTTTATACATTTCAATGTGTCTTCCCTTAATTTGATATTCTGATGGGTGTTCCTTTGGTCGTCTTCTCCAAGAGCTTCTAAGGCCGCTGAAATCAGGCAGGTTTTTATGTGTTCATGCATTTCATCTAACGTGTCATATCTGAATTCTTCTAGTTTTTGGTCTAGTCTTCTTTTGTATAGACCTTTTATCGATTCTTTCTTTAATATATGTAATTTGAGCCTCTTTTCGTTTATTGTCTAAAAGTTTATTTTTAAACTTTTTAAAATCCATTGAACTGTTTAATGATTTACATTTATATACAAATTAATTATTACTTATGTCAAAAAACAGACTCTTAAATCCGCAAAACACTTAAAATATACAAATTATGCTCTAAAAATAGCGCCCAACTTCTCGAATATTGTTTTAGAATAGTCCCCGGCATTTCTATATACTTCAGCCTCCACTATGCTAATACCTTTTTTATATGCAACAGTCCCTTTATACTTTCTTACCTGAAAAGTTTTCCAAAGCTAAAAGGAACGCCACTTCCGACGAAATTTGAATAGAATACGGCACAAAGTTGGCCGAGATGTGATTGTTGGCCCAGAGAAATGGGCTGAAAAAAACATGAGATGTCTAGGTGGATTTATTTTGCTATTTCTTATATTCGTACATCCATTTTTGGACTATCTATTAAAGCTATTATATAGTTTCAAGTATACTAGTACGTATTATTTTTACACAAGCAGTTAACAAGGTTGCAAACGGTGGACAAAAAAAAACATTTAAAAAATTATAAGACTATACCCCATAGGTAAAAGACACTATGTCCATTTTCTTACTTTTTCAGAAAAGCAGTTTTAAAATTTTTTAAATTTGTAATAAGTAAACACTCAAATGTTTCTTATATTTATCAAAGATTAATATAATATTATTGTTATGTATATAATTGTTTTTCCTTTCATAACTAATAAAATTGTTTTTTAGTGTTAAAGGCAAACATTTTTGCAAATCTTTTGATGACTCACATGTTTTCGTGACTCTGTAGCCATTAAAAAGTGTAATTGTTTCAAGTTATACAGAGTTTTAGATTCAATTGAGTGAGCATCATGATTAGCCTGTACACTGCTTAGATCATCTGCAGTGAGATTATTTTTCAATTGAGCGATGAGTGTACTATATGTTGTATCGCAAGTGTTTATTTTGGGGTGGGACAAATTGAAGTCTTTGTTAAAAATATCTGCATACAATCACTTTTTTGCTCTTAGCTTTGGATTCACATGTCTTTCATTGCATTCATCAATGTACAGTTGATACTTTTTTTCTATTCTGGTTTTGTGGCCAGATAATTGCTCTTGCTCCTTTCTCTGGAATATTGACTCTCTTACTTTGGGAAGGAATTGATATGTTGATGTATATTATTTATGGTTTCGGTAGGAGTTTTACTGATTGACGTGTGTTTACCTCTTTGATCAGCATTTAATAAATCTCCTGGCTAAATTTATTTTAACATATCCATTACTACTAAATTAGAGAACGATTTGCGAAGTGGAAATTGAAACGTCAATAAACGTACGTTAACCTTTAATTGTGGCTTATTCCCAGTTAAATAGTAATTATACTAAATTAGATATACAAAGTGTGTTTAAAAACATAACCTTGCACATCTTCATTCGCCGATTGTTTACTGTAAAATGGTAGTGTCAATTTTATAAGGAAACACCACTGTCAGACTTAATTAGAATACAAAGATTGCAATGGTCCGAACATGTGATAAGAATAGGAGACGATAGGCTACCAAAAAGAACATTGAATGCTAGAATGCAGGGAAAGAGACCAGTAGGAAAGCCAAGAAAGCGCTGGGAAGACACAGTAAACAGCAACGCACAAGCCCTTTCAGGAGTCCGTGTATGGAGAAGATCAGCCACAGACAAGCAAGGGTGGAGGTAAAAAATAGAAGAGGCCAAGACTCAACTTAGGCTGTAGTGCTGTAGAAGAAGAAGAAGAAAATGGTAGTGTAGTGTATTATTTTTAGATTTGATTGAGTTTGGTTCTCTTTTTCTGGATCGAAGAGTAAGTTGGATATCGACACATGAGAAGGTAAATTGCTTTTTACCATCTGAAACGTTTGTCTCAGTAAAGTATGAATTGAAGATATTTGTCTTTCGTATTCTGGCAATCTTTCAGAGCATTTCATACGACACATGCAAGGAGGCTTTAACATTTTTGCATGCATGTTTTCACGGCTTTTACTTTTTCCCCCCAGCTATTTTCCGTTTGCGAGCATTACAGGCCGAATTTTGTTTATTCACTACACGTTTTTTACCTCTTTGTTTTGCACTTAGTTACATTTTGTGTCTTTCTTTTGACACTTTTCTCTTCTTCTTAAATAACTTTATTACCTTTATGTTTATTGGAATTACCTGCATCACTGCTTAGGAATAAATTGTCCTGAAGAAGATTTTTTGTTACTGCCCCACTAGTCGTAAAAGTAGTAATAGCTTCCTCTTTTATCAATATCCGAATCATCATATCCAAACAAATTATCATCTTTGTCCGCTTCCTTATCATAAATTAAGAAAATGTTAATTATTTAGAAAACACGAAAATATACTCTCTTATTGTTGATATATTTCAACTCAAATAAGAGTTTTTGTCTTGTCGGGATTTCGTCAACTCCCGCTCAAACAGGTTGCTAATTTAAATATTCAACACACTTTCGATACTATGTTACCGCCAATTCTCCCCTTTTAAATAGGACAAACTATCATTTTTACGACCACAACTGCCACTGCTGGTTAATTCCGTTAATTCTTTATAAAAACAAGTTTTTTGTCTACCTCAATCTGGGTCAACAATATATGTTTGTTATCAAAACTTGTAAAATGGCCACAAAGCTTTAGTTTTATCATTTTTATGCAGTTTCTTTGTAATGTAAAAAACAATGATTTTAGAACACACCGTTTGGGACATGTAAAGTTCGTTAAAAGTCTGTTATAAGAGTTGAAAAGTTGGCGGTTGTTTTTCTCTATAAAAACTAGAATTAAACCGGCATTCAGAGACTTTGTTCTCGGTGCTCATACTGGACAGTAGACTTCGTATCCAGTCTTCGTGCTGAACACTAGTTACTTCAAGGCTCCCTCAAACTTCGTACTCAAGCCTCAAGTAGGGTAGTTTTTAAACGCGCTTTACGTAAACCTTACCTTCGTACACATAGCAGAGCAATAAATAGTTAGTGTTAGTTAAATACTTTTGTAAACTACAATCTTTGAAAACTAGAGTGCAATGTAAAATAAAGTGCCATTAAATACAACAAAGAATTATTATTACCAGTTCGATGTAGAAATAGTTTTCGCGGAAGGAATATTTAATCCAAATCCAACTATTTAGCCAGTTCCAACGTCTGGCCCGCTTCTTGTGTTGTAGAAAGGAGACAATTCACAACACATGGCTTACAATACATGGCAATTTGTAAACATTTAGACACCTAATTAATAATTTGCTTTAAAAAATGAAAATTTATCAAACACTAATAAATTCAGACATAGGGAATATTAAATAAAAATATTCTTTGATAGTGACATAAAACACAGAGCATTTATTTTAAAATTACTGAGTAGATATTGTTCTGAAGCTATTTTCTTGTGGCATTGTAAATTAATTACTATTAAACTGGGAATAAGCCACAATTAAAGATAAAAATACGTTTATTGACGTTTCAATTTCCACTTCGGAAATCGTTCTCAAAATACAAAACTGTTTGTATTTTGAGAACGATTTCCGAAGTGGAAATTGAAACGTCGATAAACGTATTTTTATCTTTAATTGTGGCTTATTCCCAGTTTAATAGTAATTAATTTACTGAGTAGATATTGCACTTGTATTTGGACTCATTCTATATTCTATATAAAGAAAATTAGCAATATCAACTATTACTAAAAATTTTAACAATCAATAAAATAATATAACCGCAATAGATCCTTGTTATTGCGCTTCTTTTTATTATACAAGGAGTTGAACTTGTAACGATTTTCTTAGAAAATTGGTTATAACATGGTAAATATCCTGTATAACATAACAAAACTTTACATTGTTGTGATATGTGGAAGTATTATGTTATGTTAAGTTGTAAATCTACCTTAATATTTGTCAACCTTCCTTAACATTAGTGAAATGTCAAATAGAAGAAGAAGCCCGGGAGTGAAAGAGGAGGACAGACATTGATAGTCGACAGACTGGTCTTATGGCTCTTTAGAGATAATTATGAATCAGTATTAGCGTTGATTGAATATGGGTTATTCAATCAACGGTATTAGTTTGTCTTGTAATAAATAAAATGTACAGAAATGAGTCGTATATTATAACAAAATGCCCACAGAGTAGAACAAAAAGGAAATAAAGAAGATTTCGAATATACAATCAAATACAGGGTGTTCCATAAAAAAAACATAAGTTTGATCTGCCACTTTGTTATAGAATACCCTGTAACATTACAACTAATTATGTCAACGTTATAGTTGCCTACAATTTTTGTTGCTATTATTATATTAAATTTTATTGCTATCATTACTATATCTACTACTATCACACTAAACAATCACCCTGTATATATATATATATATATATATATATATATATATATATATATATATATATATATATGTATATATATATTCATCTCAAACTAAATGTATATCTAATTTTTATCATTTTACCCAACCAGTTCAAGGCTGCGTTTGATAAACAAATAAAAAATCCAAGTGTATCTGTTTCTCACAAAACGGTTTTAAAGTTCATAATTCAACTACTTGTAAAAACAAATGAACCGACAAATAATGCAAAACATGGTTTAAAAACACTACAATCGACCAGAAATCAAAGTGACCACAACAATTTGTGCAGTCCTTCCCACAATACCAGCACCACCGGTTTAATTTCCTATTATAGCGAGTTGTTTTTAATTATTAATAAGATACAGTCAGTGATTAACAAAAATGAAAACATCAACAGGTTTTTTGTGGCTGGCGGGTCTGTTTCCGATATTATTTTTAGGCGTTGCGAAGATTTCTTATAGTTTTGGGGACAACAGTATTTTGAAATATTTGGGCTTTGGTTTTCCGGATGAACCGATTCTCACGCAAAACATTGTAAGTATTTACTAGATATTTATGTAGATATATTTTGTATTGTGTTTTGTATTCTAATCTATGCAAAATAGTAACGCACGCAAGTATCGTTTATTAAAAAATTATCTAGAGTGTATTTACTGTGAATTTAATAAACCATGTCCATTCTATTGATAAGGCATTTGTTTTATCTATTTAGATAACAAACAATACATCTTTCCAAGGTGGTCCTATACTTTTTCTTTCGTTCGGTTTGTAATTTAGTGTTTCTTTCGTAAGTCACTTTTCATTCATTATGTTTTCGTGTTGTTTCTATGCTGTTGTAGGTATATGTATTAAAACGTGCATCTATATATTGTACTTCCTAATCTACATTCCTCCATGTTGTCACACATGTCGTCTTCCAGAACACTACCGTTTATCCCTTAGTCAACGTCGTCTCTTCGACTTTTTCGTGGCCTTCATTGTTTTCTCCTCTTTTTTTTTAATCCGATTGTTCGATTTTTTATTTGTGATCCTTTCTCGTCTTGATTTTTCCACTGCTCGTCTCCGGTAGTCCATCTAAATAGCTCTTAATCTCTTTACTTTCCGTTTTTTTAAGTGCCGTTATTTTGCAGCTTATACGATTATGCTTTTTACTACAGTATTGTAAAGTCTATTTTACATACATTGACTTCTAGGCCTCAAATTTTATATTTTATATTATTTTATACCTATTTTCTTAGTTGCGACCAAACTCAATTGAATATAAAAGGTGATTCATTTAGAGGTACTTTTCTCAACATGAAAAAACAATGAAAAAAATAAATTTTATTTGAAAATATTTAGTATTATACAAAAGAACCATTCATTGCAATTACTTTTTAAAGATAATTTCTTTTAAATGTTGGCCATGACTACGATTAAGTTGGTTTATTCTGAAGCCCCATTCTCGATGACTCGTTCCAGCATTTCGATTGGTATTTCACCAATGACTCGAGTAATACTGCATACAATGCCGCAATCGTATCTGGTTTATTCATGTAGACTTTAAAATTTAGGTAGCCCAAAAAAAAAAGAGTCTAGAGATGATATGTCACAGGATCTAGGCAGCCAATTCAGTGGTCCAAAACATAAAATAATTTGTTTACTTAATCGTTCTGGAAGTAAAGCCATGCTGTCACGGACTGTATGGCAAGTGGCGCCATGTTGTTCAAACCTAATGTTGCCAAGATCACAAGCTTTAATTTCAGGTACCAAATAGTCCGTTATCATGGCACGATAACATTCTGGCCGGTCTCTGTTTTAAAGAAATATGGACCAACGATTCCACCAGCCCATAAACCACACCAACAGTTGTTTTTTCAGGGTGTAATGGCAACTTTTTAACCTTTTCTGGGTTTCAAACTTACTAATCGTAAAGCGATTTTTACGTTCGGTGGCCGATTACGTGGACCATAACTTGCTCTAAGCGTACGAATCACATTCCTCACAGAACTCCCATTTTCAAAAGACAACTTAATAATTTCTAGACGTTGTGTCGGACTAAGTCTTTCCATCATCAAATGTCAAACAATACTGGACAAAAGCCAAATGTCAGTTTGACAGTATTCATGCACGATTTCCAATCAAATCCCCATCAAAAAAATACCTATAAATGAATCACCCTTTATTTGTCAACTAAATGTTTGGTTGTAAAAATTAATTCTTGTTATTTACTCTTTGTCTAAATAGACTAGAGAACTAAGGATTTTCCCGTGATGTTCTAACAATTGCTGTTACAAAACAACGTAAAGTCCCTTCTTCTTCTAGTTCCATGACCGTTATCGATCGTTGGATATCATGTTGGCTACCATATTCGCTATCGTGACTTTATTGACAGCAGCTCTAAATAACGATGTAGTTGATTTTCCATACAATTGCCTTAGATTTTTCAGCCATGATGTTCTTCTTCTACCAGGACCACGATTACCTTGGATCTTTCCCTGAATGATCAGATGTAAAAGATCATATTTTTCAGGGTGCCTCATAATGTGACCGAAGTATTCCAGCTTGCGTTTCTTTATTATATTGACCAGTTGTGTTGTTTGGTTCAGCCGTCTAAGGACCTCCTCATTTCTAACTCTGACGACCCAGCTTATTTTCAGTAGTCGTCTGTATACCCACATCTCAAAGGCTGTCAAGCGTTTAAGCATAGCCTCAGTTAGGGTCCACGCTTCTACTCCATACAGCAGGACAGGAAAGATGTAGCAAGATATCATACGAACTTTAAGGTCAATGCTAAGATCATGACTACAAAGTACGTTTCTCATTTTTACAAAGGCAGCTCGGGCTTGTTCTATTCGGCTTTTAATTTCTGTGGTTGGATCCCAGCTCTCATTGATATTACTGCCGAGATACACGAGTTTCTCTACTCTGTCCAGTGTGGCATCTCCGACTTTTATACCGTCATCATGTATATAATTTTGTTTGCTAACTATCATATATTTAGTTTTCTTAACGTTGAGTTTTAGTCCATACTGATCACAAGTCTGTTTTATTTTGTTCATTAGATTTTGAAGGTCTTCTCCGCAATTGGCAAGGACTAAGGTATCGTCGGCATATCTAATATTGTTGACGGTTACTCCATTCACAATAATACCTTCGGTTGTCTCCATTAAGGCTTTCTTAAATATTTCCTCCGAATATAAGTTAAAAAGTAAAGGCGACAATATACAGCCTTGTCTCACTCCTCTTTTTATATTTATTTCATCCGACAGTTCTTGTTCAACCTTTACTCTTGCCACTTGATGCCAGTATAGATTTGTAATTATTCGTAGATCTTTATCGTCCAATCCAGCTGTTTCCAATATTTCTAGCATTTTATTATGTCGGACTTTGTCAAAAGCTTAAAGTAAAGTAAAGTCCCTATTTAATATTAAATACTAAAGATAAAGACCAAAAAATTATTTGGAAAAGTGCTACAAAATCCTTTAAAATTACGGGTTGTAAAATTATTTTGTCAATTTGTGCTTAATTATTGCAAATGTAGCTTCAAAAATTAATTTTTTGTAAATCAATAACAACTTTTCTAAAAATGAACAAAAAACTTTTGTGCTTAAAAATAAGGACAATATCACAAATATTCAGCTTGTTTTAAAAAATGTTAAGCACTTTAACAGTGCTTGTAAGATTGAAGTTGTTTATTCCAGAAATATTTTATTTACAACGTTATTATGTCTAAACTATTATGCCTACCTAAATTCTGAACACATCGAATTAAAGAAAAACCCTTATTTTATCAGATTAAATCGTTTATTGAATTAAAAATTTTTGTTAAATATTGTAACATAGGCTTTCAAAAGTACTGTGACTTTAAACTTTAAACAATTAAAATAAGTTAGAAGCAATAACAGGTAAAAATTTATTTTTTTTATACATTATTTTGACATTTAATTAAAAAAAAAAATATCCTACGATCCTTAAAACCCGAATTAGTTTTTTTATTTAAAATTCACCAAGACTTTATTTATAAACAATAAGCCATTCTTATAGAACTATTTAGAGGATTAAAAATTCAAATTTAAATAAAAAAAATTTAAAAGCTGTTCCTTTAAAAATAAGCCTTCATGATACGCCAAAAATTAAAAGTTTGAAAGCCAAGCAATTTTACAATTTTAAAAACTGAATTTAGGCTTTCAAAAGTACTGTGACTTTAAACTTTAAACAATTAAAATAAGTTAGAAGCAATAACAGGTAAAAATTTATTTTTTTTATACATTATTTTGACATTTAATTAAAAAAAAATATCCTACGATCCTTAAAACCCGAGTTAGTTTTTTTATTCAAAATTCACCAAGACTTTATAAACAATAAGCCATTCTTATGGAACTATTTAGAGGATTAAAAATTCAAATTTAGATAAAAAAATTTAAAAGCGGTTCCTTTAAAAATAAGCCTTTCATGATACGCCAAAAATTAAAAGTTTGAAAGCCAAGCAATTTTATAATTTTAAAAACTGAATTTATTAATTTAAATTTATAAAAGTAGTAATGTACCTGGTTCTAATCAACGAAAATTATTGTTTTTTTTTAACTTGGTGTACCTTGTGGCCATCGAGCAAAAAGATAAAAGAGGGAATGTAAAGGTAGTGGGGGCATAAATATTGTTAGACAGGAAGTGCCATCTTGAGAGGCCACTTTAAACAAGGAAAGATAGTCTTTCCTTGTTTGAGAAGTCAAATTTAGTTTGGTTATGTTATTGTTTGTCCCAACTGTCACATGAAATTTTATTTATATTGAAGTTTTTTACCAATTGTGTCACTTTTTAGACTATTATAGTTAATATTTAATTAAAACTTTCTCGTCTGAAAAATATTTTATAGCTATTTGTTAATAAGTGTTGGAAAATTTAAATTTAGCGCCTTTGGATTTCCGGATATGTCCGCCATCAGAGGCCACTTTTTTGGTCTCCTTTTCATAACGATTAGATTCCCTCTTTTATCTTTTTGCTCGATGCTTGTGGCATAAATTATAAAAATGTATATAGTTAATTGGTGAATTTTCAATATAACCGAGTAATTTGTTTAAACAATTTAAAATATATATTTATTTCGCAAAATTTTATTTTTCTCTTATTATTATAAGCAGAAAAGGTTATTAAATAATAAGACACCTAAATATATATATATATATATTATATATATAATATATATATATATATATATAAAACAATTTATTGTGTTGGAATATCGGGTATGCGGTCTGTTATTATTAAAAAAAAACTCTTTTTTCTTTTAATCCTCTATATTTCGCTGATTTTTTGTCAGCTTCATCAGGAGACAAAGATTTAGAGTGGAAAGTATTTAAACAAGTTGTTCAATCAGTGAAATATAGAGGATTAAAAGAAAAAAAAGTTTTTTTTTAATAATAACAGACCGCATACCCGATATTCCAACACAATAAATTGTTATTTACGTTTCGATCGATAATCTTACCAGTTTTGCTATATATATATATATATATATATATATATAATATATATATATATATATATACATAATA